GGGATGGGGGTGGGGGTAATAAGAGCCTATATAAGAAAAAGACCCAAAAATCGGTACTGTCCCTATAAAATCGGGACATCTGGTCACCCTACATTGCTATGAAGAGAAACCAGAGTACAGATAGATTTTGGGCGGGTGGGGAAGGGGGAAGACAAATGTAACAAAAATTAAAACTTACCTTAAAAAATGCAAACCATTTGTAATCATTTATTACAACTTCAAAGCCTTGATTATAAATTATGGTGAAGAAGCCAAAATTGCCCAGATCATCTTGAGCTACAGCCACCTTCTGAAGAGTCACAACTACTTTTTTTTGCACAGGTCCTGCAGAGATGAGACAGTTTTTACATGGATGGGTTAAAGCAGAAATTTACTATGCCACTTACGAAGTTACACTACCAGACTTGAAAATAAAATACTGGCATTAGGGCTGCTGTGTAAAATATGTCTCATGTGACACACAGAAAGCACTAAATTGGCAGATAAACTTTTATCAGGATCAGTTTTTTGCTTGATATATTTTTCCTGTTGGTGCACTAGACTTCTTTCAGAGCCTTATGGTTTTTATATATCTGGGTTTGGCATGTGAGAAGTACTGAGCACCTGTTGCAGGAATAGGTTTATTTTACTGAAGTGGAATCTATTACACAAGCTTCCGTAACTCTGGATATTAATAGCAGTGAAATGATTGGCCCCATCACAGCAAAGCTGGAAGTGGCTTCTTAACACACATCTGTCGCTAGGTATTATCAGTGCTCTGCCATTTAGTGCCATGCAGCCTAGAACAGACATTGCATGGCAGTTCCACCAGGGGCACCCTTCCTCGCCTCAGAATCCCTCCTCCAAGCTTGCTTCCCACAACTAAAATCTCAGCTCTGGGCAAGAGAAGCAGCAGAGCACCAGTCAGATTGAAAATAAAAGATGGCCAACCCATAAAAATATGAAAGAGAAAATGACCTCTCCTCAGGGCAGTTCTCTCTCACCACCCTTCTCTGTAGATTGTAAACTCCTTCAGGCAAAAAACCCTGTCTTTTTGGCTATGAAGTGCCAAGTGGAGCAATAGAGCTATGTTACACCACCCATCCACACCCAGGGAGTGGGGAGGGAAGTGTCCCAGAAGTCTGCCATGAAGATGGAGGCAGATGAGTGAAATGCAGAGAATGGAGGTGGAGTGAGTGGAAGCAGAGAATGGAATTTAGGGCAGGGAGATGCCAAATAAAACTACCATGGGGCAATATGAGAAAGAGGCCCAATTTTAGATGACTTATGTGCATTCCCCATACTGGGCCAGGGGAGAAGGCACCTGTTGGACAGTTTCACCAATGGCACTTGATTAAATTCACATCCACAAAGGACATTTAAAATATTTTTGAAACCATTTTTAAATATGGGGTGGCAATCAGATTTGCACATAGCCATGTTCCAAACCACTGTAACTGTTTTAAAAGAAAAGGTCCCTGGCCTGGATCCACTGCAGTGACTGACTTTTAGATGCCTAAAAGTCACAGTCTGAGTTAGGCACCTAGGCTCCCCAAACAATGCATGATGAGAGACAGGTGCCTTACAATGTGATCCACAAACTGTAGCAAGCTGGGCAGGGAGATGCCTAAACTAGCCAACGGGAGATGTCAATGACAGGAGTGTGTCCAAGACCCTTTCAGAGAGAGGCACCTAAGCCCCAGCTGTAGGAGGTGCCTATCTCTGGTCTGAAACCAGGGGAAGACAGTTATTCCTCTGCCTAACTTGTGAGTATAGGACGCAATCCAGTAGGTGCACTTAGAGGCTGAACCCCACACAAAACATTTAGGCCAGTGGCTAAAGTACTCGCCTGGGATGTGGGAGACCCTCATTACAAGTCCCTCCTCTGCCAGGTGAGAAGGGATTTGAACAGAGATCGGCTACCTGGCAGGTCGCAGGGCAGGACAAGAGGCAATGGATTCAAACTACAGCATAGCAGATTTAGATTCTGAAGAAGTGAGGTTTTTACCCACGAAAGCTTATGCCCAAATAAATCTGTTAGTCTTTAAGGTGCCACCAGACTCCTTGTTTTTGCAGATTTAGATTAAATCTCAGGAAAAACGTCCTAACTGTAAAACCAGGAGGACAATGGAACAGACTGCCTAGGGAGGTTGTGGAAGCTTCTTCACTGGAGATTTTCAAAAGGAAGCTGGATAGCCATCTGTCTTAGATGGTTTAAACCCAACAAATCCTACATCTTGGCAGGGGTTATCCTAGATGACCCTTGTGGTCCCTAACCCTTCTAACCCTATGGTTCTATGATTCTAAGGCAGTTCCCTGCTCTGTGGATCGCTCTGGGGCTTAGGAGTCCGGGCATATTTACACTTTGAGATTGAGTGTGATTCCTTGATTGAGGAGATATACCCATGCTAACAATAAAGCAGAACTGTGGCAGCACAAGAGGTGGGCGGGGCTAGGAGAATCTGTGATGGGCCCTAGCTGGGGTGGTTAGCCCCTCCCACTGCTTGCACTACAGCAACCATTTTTAGTCCAGTAGTTTGAGGAGAGCTAGCATGTGTGCCTCCTCGAGCTGGGAATCAATCACACACTCAGCTCAAAGTGTAGAATACCCCTAGAGTGAGGCAGCAGGGTGTATGCCCAGAGGCAGGGTCAGGCACACTTTACTGCAAAAATGTAGGTGCCAAGCAAATTTAAGCATCTACAGGGTTAAGCTGCAGTCAAGCAGGAGTTTTGTAGATCACAGTGGCTTCTAAAAATGGGAATTAGTTGCCTAAATCTGGGGGTTAGAGACTTTAAATATCTTTATGAATCCATGCCCATGCCTCTATTAGAAAAGGCATCCAAGACTAACTGCAACCAGTTTTTAAACACAAAAGTAGCAAAGTCTTGTTCCTGACATAAGCAAGGTCAAAAAGACAAGTAAAATGAAATCAGATGTAACTTTCCTATTTAAAGTTACAAGTCTTATAAACCACAAATTACTCAAATTTGTAGGCTTGATTTACTTGTAACCAATGTGCCCTTTAGCATCACATGGTGAGACGGGAGGGAAATTCCATTATTAGCCCCTATTCCCATCCTCCTAACCTCCTGAATTTATCATAACATATTGCTGCTTAGTAACAGAATAAAAATGCCTGTATGTGGAAGAGAAAAGTTCTGAAACAGTTTTTACAGCTCACATTCACTTCCCTACAGAATTGCGGGGGCTAACACCCAATTTCTCATTCTACTTCCTCTTTTGATATCTGAATTGATACATCAGAGTGGGAATTTCCTAAGAACAGGCCAGCTGAAAATTAACCAGAAAGAAGTAATTTAAAGAGAAGAAACAAATGCACAAGTTTCCACGGAGTTCTTACGGGGTCCAAGGGTCATGTAATCCAGACAATCCCTTTTACAAAAATATCCCGTGTGGTTTTAGTTTCCCACTAAATGAATTAGGGGGGCAGATTTTGGAGGGGGGGGGGGAGGATCTGTTCAAACAGGAGTGGATCAGACATGCCCCATGGTTCTAAAAAAGCCAGGGGGAAAAGAACGTGTTTTGCCAGCACTCTTAAGGGACCTCACCAAGGGGGCTTTTTTTGGTTCGTTTTAAAAAGGATTTTAACTAACGCGTGTTTGTCTGAGATTGTCACAAACTGATTATCGTGCTGATCAGAGGGGGGGGGGGAAGCAAAATGAAAGAGAAAACCAGGTGGAGAAAGAAAATAAAGGGAGGGGGAATAAATGCCCCCCAGCACTTACCCATCTCGGAGCAGTTAATGTGTCGGTTCTGGCCCCCCTTCCCCACCTGGAAGACCCAGGTGCCCTCCAGGTCCGCAAAGCTGCAGTTGGCCGGGGTGTCGGCCAGCGACTCCCGGAGCTGGCAGAGCAGGAGGACGGGGAAAAGGCACCATGCTAAGCGCCCCATGCCTGCGGGCGGCGGCTCCACACAGCCCCGCTGCTGGGGGAGCCGAGCTGGACCGGGCGGCGCGGAGACAGTCCAGCAAGGGCAGCAGCGGCCTCCCTCCCCCAGCTCTACGCGCTACCGGGGACCAAGGGCCAGACCCGCCCCGGAGGGATCACGTGGAGAAGGGGAACGTGGCCTCCTCCCCTGCCCTGGAGCTGGCCTGCTGGGTGCAGCAAGGCGGATGCAGCAGCAAACCCAGCTCCCTCGTGGGGTGACAGGTCTGTTATCCCGGGCTAGCCGCGCACCGTCCCCCAGCATCATTCATGAGCTTCCCCGGGGCTTCAGACAACACGGAGCCAGAGGCAGAGACCTGGCTGTAGCAGATCCGCCCCCCCCCCCCCCCCACTGAACAAATTGTGTGCTGGCGCTGGGCAGGAAAGGGTGTATTTTCTTCCCTTTAACCCCCACCCACACACACCCACACACACGCTGGCCATCCAAAACTTTACATTTTTTGACAAAATCCCCATTGAAGTACAACAACAATCTTTAGTCAAACATTTTCAACCAGCTCTGTTAGAAATACCGCCCCCCCAGAGATGGGGCAAAACCAATGTTGCCAGTTCCTCCCTCTTCCACCTCCCACTGAATTTGGGGGTGGGGGGCGGTTCATATGAAAGAGAAGCAAATTGGTTCCTAGATCAGAACCACCCCAGCTTCTGATTTGGCAACTCTCCAATGACCAGTTTTTACAGAATCAAACTCAAACCACCTTGATTTGTCGGTTGCAGAGATGGAGCAAACTCCCAAATTTTTTTTTTTTTTTTTAAAGAATATCAGGGTTGGAAGGGATCTCAGGAGGTCATTTAGTCCAACTCCCTGCTCAAAGCAGGACCCATCCCCAGACAGGTTTTTGCTCCAGATCCCTAAATGGTCCCCTTAAGGATTAAACTTACAACCCTGGGTTGAGGAGGTCAATGCTCAAACCACTGAGCTATCCCTTCCACTGCATTTTGATGATTCAAATAATCTGCCTAGTTTTGCAAACTCCAGATTTACAAAGAAGGAAGTGCAAACCCAAACCACAGAACCCCTCCAGCTCATCAGCCGATACACAAACCATCCTGTGTGACTTGCACATTCAGAGAAATCCTGACTTGTTTTGAACTTGTTGTTCTCCCTCATATTTTAATACAGTTTGTTCAAATGTAAAACATAGCAAATGTAAAACCCTTTTCCCTCCCACCTTTCTCTTCTGCTCAGAGGGCACTATAATTACATGGCAGCCTAGTGCTTGTCTACACTAGTGCTCTCACCATTTCCCCATAATTATTAATCAGGCTTAGTAATGCCTAGGGACTGGCTGACAAGAGGTTCCTGTTGTGCTGGCACTGTACAACAGAGTAGCAGACTGTCCCTATTCTGCAGCGCTTACATTCTAAGTAGACAAAACACATATAATTTTTACAGACAGTAGCAAGCATCCATGTTCGAATTTTCAAACAGACATGTACTAGCTAAATAGCCCATTGGAATACTCAAATTTGCAGCCTTAGGGCTTCTCTTCACCTACAGCACAATGGGGAAGCGCTTTATTGAAGATGCTACATCGCCGACGAGAGAGAAGGGTAGCTGTGTTGACGGGAGAAGCTCTCCGGTCAACATGGCACTGTCTACACAGAAGGTTAGGTCTCACTCAAGGACATGGATTTTTCACACCCCCGAATGACGTAGTTGTACCAATATAGGGCTGTAGTGTAGACCTGGCATCAGTGGCTTACAAGGTACTTTCAAATGAGTAGACTGCCAGCATATGACAGGTATATCCAGTAACAATGGATAAGCACATGAAGTGAGTGTTCCTGATCAGAACATCAATAGTGAAATGGTTAACTGTGTGAGCATTTACATGCAAACCCCTGGAATGAAAGAGTTCACATTTCTCTTAATGGTTGTTGTTTCATTGTGTCTGCAGATTCCAAACATGCATAGCTTTCTATTCTGAAGGTTATGTCTACAACCAGAGATGCTAGACAATTTATGCATGAGGGAATGGATTCTGGGGAGGAGCAAGGGGGAGTAAGATATATAGAAATAACCTATGCTAGTGGAGTTTGCAGAAATTTAAACAATGAAGTGTTGACACTGAAATTAATGCATTGCTTTGACTAACGGTGTGTTTTTAAACTGTTTTAGTTATTTACTTATTTTGTTTGGTTTTTATCAGTTTAGTTTAAATCA